GCACCTTTAAGCTGTGTGAGAGGGATTAAGGTGCCTTGACAAAGGAATTAGCGTAAAAAATAGCATTTGATTGGCGGACTTAGCACTGCCGCATGCTACACCTTTCATCATGCTAAGTCCGCCAATCAAATGCTAATTTTTTATGCTAATTCCTTTGTCGAGGCACCTTAATCCCTCTCACACAGCTTAAAGGTCGCAGTCTGAGCTTGGCTCTGCTTCACTCCAGCGCAGTCTTCGAGACAGGCTGGTCCCTTCACCTGATGAAGGCCGCTTGTGTTGTGGCCGAAACGTCGTGATTTTTGTTGTTTTATTTTTTTACCTACGTGACTTTACTGAATAGAACCAAAGAGTATGGATCCTTGCAGTCACGAAAGCTTCAAATCTAGAATTGATAGCCTCTACGGGGAGGGTTTTCACCTATCTGTTAGAGCTTTTAACAGACAACGGGACAAGAAGTCACAGCTCATCGAGACGCTGACCTTCCTCAAAAGATGCCGCGACCATAAGGTAATACCCATCGCCTTCACACTCACTTCTGCTGCTGTGTCCTCACCGAACTCTAAAGAGATTCTGTTAAAGGCCAGCCTCGCTTTAATCTCAGAGAGGATAAGACTACTTCGTTTTGAACTCGATACTTTAGACAGGACTATCCTACAAGCTCATTTAACGTTAACACAAAAAATGTCACCTTCTGATTGGAACCACGTAGACAACATGACTGCTTCTTCTGCCGATTCACTTTCAATCAAATGCAAAGCTAACCTAATTGCTAAATTCAACCACCTATAAAAGAAAAACCCGGTTCCTATGATGACAAAACTAGACGCTAACAAAATTGTTTTCAATCAGAGCAGCACCCCGATTTCGGACAATCTGAAAACAGTATTGGCTGAAGGACTAAATTTCGCTGTCACCCCAAAACATATACCGATAGATGATATCATTTCTCAGGTCGATGTAGCCCTCAAAGGTATAGGACACATCCAAGCAGACGTCACGAGAGCTGAAATAGCTACTATTCTTAAGAATGCTAAGAAACCCGTTAGCAACATCAGCAAAGATGAACGCTCTGAACTCGCGAAATTAAAAGAGAGACATGATATAGTCATCCTCTCAGCCGACAAGGGCAATGCCACTGTAATTATGGATAAAAACTCATACAACAATAAAATTCAGAACCTTCTCAATGATGGTAGTTACTCAAAAATAAAAAAAATGACCCTACTAATAGCCTAACTATAAAAACCAACAAGATCATCACAAGTTCGACCTCCCTAATTGAACCAACTAAACGTCCCTCCCTAAAACCTTCTGCTGCAAGACCCCCTAGATGCTATGGTCTTCCAAAGATTCATAAAAAAGGCACTCCACTATGACCCATCGTATCCACGATCAACTCCCCTACCTATAAGCTAGCACGTTTTCTGTCGGATACCTTGCTACCTTTCACTGGCAAGACCTCCTCAGCAGTACTTAACTCAGCCCAATTGGTTTCTATGGTCAAAGACGTTGTACTGTCCCCTGACGATATCCTTGTCAGCTTCGATGTGGTCTCCTTTGTTCACCAAGGTCCCGGTACCTGATACCATTGATATAATTGAAAATTTGGTACAACATGGACTAAACCCCGAGGTACCTACGCTGGTCAGGCATTGCCTCACCAACACTTACTTCACTTGGAATGGTTCCTTCTACAAGCAAAATGAGGGTACTCCCATGGGTTCCCCCTTGTCACCAGTGATAGCCAATGTTTTCATGGAGAAATTTGAATCGGACGCCATCCAGACTTCCACCCTCAGACCTTCCCTGTGGAAGAGATATGTGGATGACACTTTCGTCATTTGGCCACATGGCCTCCCAGCTCTGAACCTTTTCCTACACCACATCAATTCCAGACATCCCGCCATCAAATTCACCATGGAAGTGGAGAAAAATGGCAAGCTACCATTCTTGGATGTTCTGTTTGAGAGGAGACCTGATGGCTCATTGGGGCATTCTGTCTACAGGAAACCCACCCACACAGATTCCTACTTGAAGCCTGATTCCCACCACCACCCAGCCCAAAAGAATTCTCTCATCAAAACTTTATACCATAGGGCTCATTGCATTTCGGACCAACACCACCTGACCAGTGAATTAAAACATGTACACCTGGCCCTCAAAAGGAATAGATACTCTGACCGTACCATCCGCCAAGCTGTTTCTCCCTCCATACAGAAGCAACCACTTGATACTCCGGTCAAAACCATCACACAACCATATATAGCAGGCGTTACTAAAAAGATGTCCAAAATTCTAAACAAACACAAGATCCAGGTCCGGTTCAATACAGTACATAAAATTCGTAATCTGATCCCATCCGTGAAGGATGTCATTCCTGACTTACAGTACCCCGGGGTTTACAAATTGAGTTGTACTTGCGGTGATTGCTTAATCGGGGAGACGAAGCGACATGTCTCTGACCGAATTCGCGAGCACAAATCAGATTTGAAACACGGCAGAACGAATTTTTCTGCCGTGGCTGATCACTGTTACAACGCTGTGGGTGATCACGATATAATTTTCTCCGATACCAAGGTTCTTTGCAAACCCACAGGTTTTTTTTATCAGAGATTTGTTCACGAGGCAATTCAGATCTACAAACACAGACACAATTTCAACCTAGAAGATGGTTTCAAATTAAGCAACCATTGGAAAGATGTTCTAAATCGAACTAAACATTAAACTAATTTTCATTGGTACAGTATATTTTTTCAAGTAGTGGTACCCCAAACTTTCGCAGCACAGGCTGGTGCACTGCCGGTGCCGATCACTGTGCTACACCTTTCATCATGCTAAGTCCGCCAATCAAATGCTAATTTTTACGCTAATTCCTTTGTCAAGGCACCTTAATCCCTCTCACACAGCTTAAAGGTACACTGCCGCGTGCTACACCTTTCATCATGCTAAGTCCGCCAATCAAATGCTATTTTTTAATGCTAATTCCTTTGTTGGGGCACCTTAATCCCTCTCACACAGCTTAAAGGTCGCAGTCTGAGCTTGGCTTTGTTTCACTCCAGCGCAGTCTTCGAGACAGGCTGGTCCCTTCACCTGATGAAGGCCGCTTGTGTTGTGGCCGAAACGTCGTGATTTTTGTTTTATTTTTTTACCTACGTGACTTTACCGAATAGAACCAAAGAGTATGGATCCTTGCAGTCACGAAAGCTTCAAATATAGAATCAATAGTTGCTTGTGTTCAGATCCCATTTTTTCGCACAGTTTGCGAAACATTTAAGCATTTAGTGGTCTTGACAAAATGAAGTTGATTACATTAACAGCGTCATTTAATACTGCATGCAACTCAGAACGAATTCTTTGGAGGCCAATGCTTCTCTACGTATGATGAAGTGGGTCCACTGCACATCGGGATTTTCTTTCCTAATCCGTGTTATGAGTCCTTTAATCTGCCCTGTCATTGACACAGCTGCGTCGGTACAACCAAAGGTGCAGAAATTTTAGTTCAAACCAAGTTCAGAGAAAAAGTGGTCAACACCGTTTAAAATGTCCTCCAGTTGTATTCCCCTTTAAGCTCTTGCAAAAGACTATATGCTCACAAATATCGTCAATGTCCCTGAATCGTACAAATGCAACCAGCTGTGCCTCCCTAATGATACAGTATATTTAAACTCGTCGAGCTGGAGTTTACATGAGGCAAATTGTGGCAGCAATAGAACACATTCCAAATGTAGTGATACACTCAAAGACACTTGGAGTAGGAGGCACTCTATTTATTAAGCCTTCATAGGGTACAAAGGGTAACTACACTTTCAGTCAGGACAGCTAACAGACTGCCTGACTGACAATGCCGAGAAGGTGAAAACGGTGGCAAAGACTCCAGCAGCCCGACGGGATGCCACTCCAAGTAACAGCCCCAAGCCTTCGCTCGGGGTCCCCTTTTATCCTCCTAGCGTGGCCTTGCTCCGTCCCAGGCCACGCGGGTTCCTGGGCTTACCTCACGTGCCCCCTCTATCACCATTGCTCTAAATCCCTCTCTCTGGCTTAATACATGACCTGCTGACAGACAGGGCTGCTGCAACTGTAGATCCCATTCTCTGCCAGCAACCAGAGCCATGCTCCGTAGTGACCCATTCCATGTCACTACACAAGTATTTAAACAATATATGCACCGATCATGCAAGGAGTACATGTGCAAAGCTTTGTACCTTGGTTATATTCAACTATTGGTACTAACATTGATTTAATACACAAAATAATTCTGTTTGGTCCTCTAGACACTATACTTGTGTATGCGTTAACATGTGCAGTGAGTTCAACTGAGTCGCAGACGTACTCTTGGAGGTGACACATTTATTTAACACCAACACACCCGGTAACTGCCCCTTAACAGAATAACAACCTATGGTGGTGTACCACCAGGCTAACTACACTAATTACAACGTAACTAGCTACAACAGACCAGGACCAACAGCTCGGGTCCAGGTCCATGTGTTGGAGACACATGGATGAACAACAGCACCCGTCCCTCTGGGGGACCCGGTTTATAACCTCTGTGGCGTGGCTGGCTCCACCCTTGGCCACGACCACCTTCCAGAATCCTCGAGCAGTATCTCGACTCTGACACGTGACCACCCCTAGCCCCCACTTGGGGCCCTTGTGTAGACTTAACCGGTCACGTGTGCTCTGTGGTGAACCAGAGTGCCACGGTCCTTAGTAACCCTATTTCCATGGCCGGCACTCCCACACCCTATCTTGTAGGGTGCCGGCACTGCACGCTAAACATGCTGCCATCCAGCGCTTTCGATCAGCGCTCACCGAGCCCCTCTAGAGCCGGTACTGCACCCACATCCTAGTGGTGTCCGCGATGTCAATACTACCGTACGCCGTGCCTCTCTCGGGCCGGCATTACACAGTGACGTCCCGCGATGTCACTACGCATGTAATAACATATGTGTGACTTGTGAACTCAATACACATTTACTTTACATGTTTGTCTTACATAGGCCTGTTTGCCTACCATGCACCAAAGATTCAGCTGAAATATTAAAATTAGAAGGAACCGTTTGGAAAGACTGGGAAGAGTTTTGCCACAAACACAGTAAGTATTACTATGTGTCTTTCACATTTGATCACCGTAACCTGCAATATCCCTTATCGCGGCTGTTGCTGGGGCATTGACTGAATATGCAGTTTTTGAGAGCCTTATTTTAAGCTGGGCAACACTTTTCAATTAATCCTCGAACCCTACAACTCCATGTCTGATTCCCAGAGAGATCAAAATGCTACTGTTCCAAAAATTACCGTATTTTCCCGCATATAGCCCTCATACGCATATAACCCACAGATGCATATACCCCGCAAAAATAGCGTTTTGTGTAAAACAAATTTCAGATAGCCCGCACCTCCATATACCCCGCATGCATTCATATCTTTAACGTCGTTACCGCAGCTTAATTCATTCATATTAATACAAAGTTTACATTTGTAATACATTCCACTATCAATTGTTTACATTAAAATCATAACGTGCACAAAGAAAACAAACTAACCGGAAACGAGTGAACTTTAAACAGTAAATAAGTAACAAAAGTAAATATCCAATAAATAAGTAACACATAACTGGTAGATAAGTAAGTAAGCGTACTATTAGGCTTACCAGCATTCGACCTCATCATATTACAGCTACTGGACCGGTAGTTACCCCTGTACAGTTTTATCACTGGTAGATTGCGCACTGCGCAGACAATAGTGGCACAACGGTAACGCCATTGCCTCCTGGCAACAAAGCCAATGGAACTTTTAAACAAAGCTCATGGTCGCGACTGTACAGTGCTCAGCCAATAACAGCGGCCTAAGGGACTCAGCAATTATGATTCTGCGTCTGGTAGACGAGTGTTAAGGCCCTTCCCATTGTGCTATCCATAGCCTCAGCTGAAACTTTCGCACCCCCTTACAGCCACTGAAAGTATTACGGTAAACAAAGTGCGCCCACTTCAAACATTGTCGTTTCATTGTACAAACAATTCGAATTTAAAACGTGATAACATGTACAATTTTAGTGTGAGTTGTATATTCAGCAGTGCTTTAGTCAAAGGTAAGTGTTGCATAGTAGATAGTCCTACCATGAAAAAATTAAACGAGTTATGACATGTCACACGTGTAAAATATTTTTGGGTATTGTTTTGTTTGTAAAAAGTGGTATACCCCGCGGGTTATATGCGGAAAAATACGGTAGCCAACACTACCGTGACAGAAGAAGTTGCCACTCATCAATATTAAGATCTCCCCTTTCATTCTAACCTCTTTTATGCCAAATACAACATGTCTTACTATATTTGAATCCTAATTCAATACGATTGAATTCTAAATATGATGACCCATCATTGTAAACGTTTTCATAACTGTCAAGTCAAGAAGTGCTCCGTCTTTACCCAGTGGTGTCTATTACCACTTACAGTGAGGGAAAAAAGTATTTGATCCCCTGCTGATTTTGTACGTTTGCCCACTGACAAAGAAATGATCAGTCTATAATTTTAATGGTAGGTTTATTTGAACAGTGAGAGACAGAATAACAACAACAAAAAATCCAGAAAAACGCATGTCAAAAAAGTTATAAATTGATTTGCATTTTAATGAGGGAAATAAGTATTTGACCCCTTCTCAAAGATTTCTGGCTCCCAGGTGTCTTTTATACAGGTAACGAGCTGAGATTAGGAGCACACTCTTAAAGGGAGTGCTCCTAATCTCAGCTTGTTACCTGTATAAAAGGTACGTGTCCACAGAAGCAATCAATACATCAGATTCCAAACTCTCCACCATGGCCAAGACCAAAGAGCTCTCCGAGGATATCAGGGACAAGATTGTAGACCTACACAGGCTGGAATGGGCTACAAGACCATTGCCAAGCAGCTTGGTGAGAAGGTTGGTGCGATTATTCGCAAATGGAAGAAACACAAAAGAACTGTCAATCTCCCTCGGCCTGGGGCTCTATGCAAGATCTCACCTCGTGGAGTTGCAATGATCATGAGAACGGTGAGGAATCAGCCCAGAACTACACGGGAGGATCTTGCCAATGATCTCAAGGCAGCGGGGACCATAGTCACCAAGAAAACAATTGGTAACACACTACGCAGTGAAGGACTGAAAACCTGTAGTGCCCGCAAGGTCCCCCTGCTCAAGAAAGCACATATACATGCCCGTCTGAAGTTTGCCAATGAACATCTGAATGATTCAGAGGACAACTGGGTGAAAGTGTTGTGGTCAGATGAGACCAAAATGGAGCTCTTTGGCATCAACTCAACTCGCCGTGTTTGGAGGAGGAATGCTGCCTATGACCCCAAGAACACCATCCCCACCGTCAAACATGGAGGCGGAAACATTATGCTTTGGGGGTGTTTTTTTTGTTGCTAAGGGGACAGAACAACTTCACCGCATCAAAGGGACGATGGACGGGGCCATGTGCCATCAAATGTTGGGTGAGAACCTCCTTCCCTCATCTAGGGCATTGAAAATGGGTCGTGGATGGGTATTCCAGCATGACAATGACCCAAAACACACGGCCCAGGCAACAAAGGAGTAGCTCAAGAAGAAGCACATTAAGGTCCTTGAGTGGCCTAGCCAGTCTCCAGACCTTAATCCCATAGAAAATCTGTGGAGTGAGCTGAAGGTTCGAGTTGGCAAACGTCACCCTCGAAACCTTAATGACTTGGAGAAGATCTGCAAAGAGGAGTGGGACAAAATCCCTCCTGAGATGTGTGCAAAGCTGGTGGCCAACTACAATAAACGTATGACCTCTGTGATTGCCAACAAGGGTTTTGCCACCAAGTACTAAGTCATGTTTTGCAGAGGGGTCAAATACTTATTTCCCTCATTAAAATGCAAATCAATTTAACATTTTTGACATGCATCTTTCTGGATTTTTTTTGTTCTTATTCTGTCTCTCACGGTTCAAATAAACCTACCATTAAAATTATAGACTGATCATTTCTTTGTCAGTAGGCAAACGTACAAAATCAGCAGGGGATCAAATACTTTTTCCCTCACTGTACTCCCCGATATACTCTGCCACCATCGCGGTTGATGAAATCAAACTTGTAAATAACTTTTGAATGAGCTTCATGCTGCACTGCCATTGGGAGAATAATACGTGGCTATACTTCACCTTGCCGGTCGGTGTGGGTTTGTGAAAATTAACGCCCAATATGGAAACCCTTTGCCACTTGGATCTAAGACAGGGGGATATAGCACCTCACATATAACATCATTATTGAACTGTGATGATGACTTTAACAGTTATAACTTACTATATAATAATTGCTGCTATTGACAACACTGCGGGATTTGTCTTGACTGTAGACTGCTAGTGATTGTAACCACTAGGTTGGCCACTGATATGCGCACTGCACTGTGCATGTAGAATTCTACCGTTGAATTGATATTCAGTGTTTGTTTCAAGTATGTACATTAAAAACGCGTATTTGTAGATGCACTGTGAAATGCGGTTGTGCTGTGCAGTACTGTATTGCGTTACACATGCTCAAATCGAAATGTGGTGTTATGTAATGTTACGGATCATATTCATGTTTTTTAGTTGCTCAACAAATATTGACTGAAAACGGAGAAGGAATCATCACAGGGTTTGGAATGGTTAATACAACTGCAATACCTACACAACTTCAACAGGCCACCATTCAACTTAAAGTAAGGAATACACATCATCTAATTCATGATAACCGCAAACTGAGAATGCATCCATGTGCTTTTTTTTCATTATTGGAATGAAAATATAAATGTATTGTCATAAATATGAGTAAAAATGCATGAAATATATTTTCACTTAAACATCATCATACATTATTTCCCAGTATGTTTTCGTGTTAAATGTATGCCGCAGGTTCACGTAACAGAGTGTGTATTGAAAGAGGTCGCCTTGTATCAAACGTGCCAAATCTAGTGTTTTGTGGTTTTACTTTTAATAATCATACTTCTCTTTGCTCAGGACAACTCTGCTTGTTTAGAAGAATTTGTGAAATTCAATAGACCTTTCAGCGCAGACACACTCAAAACATTTATAACAAAGAATATGCTGTGTGCTGGCGGTACTGGAGCTGATGCCTGTAAAGGTATGGATTCACGTACAGTGTCATTTTTCATACATTTAGTGAATAAACAAATCCGAGAGAGAGGGTCACAGCAAACCCAACTATTCCACAATTCATTCACTTCAATTCTGTCTCCAGATGTCGTAAGTTTTGATTCTTCATATAGAATTATTAAGATTGTATGTAGAAATTAGTTCACCGATTTAAGGTTTACATTACAAAAATAAAAAAGAACGTGGATGTTCAATGAGCTGAGTTTAACTAAATTAGACGTAGGGGGCATAGAGAGCAGACTCACATGCACAGAGACTGTTTTGAAATAATATAAAAATTAATGTGTAGCCCTTCACTGCTGAAGCCACACCTTTTATCTATCTCGAGTTTTACCATACTTCATGATGGTCAATGCAGGTTGGTTAAGGGGTGCTCACGACTGGTTAAGATATCACCTCATCACTACTGTTAGTCGTGGCATAGTGCATGAACCACGGTGCCACCACATTGCATATGCATCTGTTTGTCTTCTTTGATATGCAAACAATGTACGTTTGGAAAATCGGGAGCATTTAGCCCATGTTAAAAGTCAAGCTTCACCAACGCTTAGCATAAGATCGGGATGGAAGAAAAGCTAAATAATGCTGGGCTGGAGATTTACAGCTCGTTGAGCTGCAGATTCTGATATTGCCCATTTGGCTTCACGGTGAGGTACGCAAGCTGATGGCAGCATTTAGGAATGAGAGTCCTCTTTGCCGAATGTGTCAATGTGAAATAAGGTGGTTGTAATAGAGGAGATTATGATGAGTATAACAGCTCTGTCAATATTTGTTTTTACGCCACCCTAGCGTGCTATAGTCAATCACACAAGGGTAGGAATTTGCTTTGCAACATATATCGAGTTTTGCAATTCAGTATCCTTCATATTCATCTGCAAGGTGTTAAACACCGAGTATACTCGCTCATTTTTCCAGCATTATCATTGCACACGTCATGCTCTAGTATTGGTGATGTTTTTAGCACGCAATTAATGTGTTGTTTTACCTGCTAGGCGATTCTGGAGGACCATTTATCGTGAAAAGATCGGAGCATTGGATTCAGGTTCGACTGCTGTTTATTGTCTTTGAGACTTTAAAATTGAGAGCAATACGCATAAAACCAATTTGTCATTCATCTTTCATGTTTTAGGATACTTTATTCATATTCATATTGAGACAGAATATTTATTTTGTAGTCCATTAATACTACGAGTGATCTTCACATTCATTTCTATGTATCATTTTTATAAAGTTACTGTAACTGTTTGACGTTTTGTGCCTTTAGGCATCTGCTCTGCAACCGTAATTATTTATTTAATCCAACTCTTTTCTTACAGATTGGTGTTGTAAGCTGGGGAGTTACTCCAATCTGTGGTGGTGGACAAAGGAATGGCTTATACACAAATGTTGTACAGATGATGCAGTGGATTAAATCACATGTCTATGATATCGATTTTAGAGCAAATGGGCAAGTTTTATAACAACACCAAATAGTAACTTCTCTGATGTGGACCAATCAGTTTCAAAGACAATGCATATATTATCAGAGTACGTTTTTTGTTTGCATTCTGACCACAATTATTGTGGTTAATGCATGATTCCTTGTAAAAGGTTTCAGTTTGGTGTTTTAACATCTTAACACCTGTTTTGTTGCCAGAAAAAAAGGGGAAAACCTATTCTCAGTAATTTATCATTATCTTAAACCAACAGGGTAACCTCAACTCATAAAAATAGACTGTAATACAAGGACTACAGTATATTCATTTCAATGTTTACTCTGAAATGAAAGCCATACCATGTGTTAAAGTGTTGTCCTTATGTATGCATTGCTGTTTTTTTCCGTTTTTCCCTCTGAATGAGAGAAGTTATTAAGTTAGCTGCTCAACAGAGTATAGTAGTTATATGCGACATTAAAACTGCTGATTTATGCACTAATCTTGCATCATTGGCAAATATTTCAATCACAGTCGTCAAATGTGAAATTAAGATTATGTAGGAAGAGTGCATAAATGCATGTTGAAACTGTTATGATGAAGGGAAATTTAATTGCGAATTAATCACGGATAATACAATTTACATCTTGCAATTTTGGCAGGAATTCATGGCCAAAATCTGTGTTTTTCAGAATTATAGCCCGTAACTATCGAGTGTGGATTGGGAAATCTGGGAGTTGTAGTTTTACATCCTGAACAGATTACTTCCAGCAGCCAGCCTTACATAGGTTGGGCTTTGATGTTTTTTTAGTGCTCTGCCTCCCCATGTGATGGGCTGTGGTCATTTTTGGAAGAGCACTGGCATTACCAGCCACTCTGCGTCTCAGATGAGATTATGTAGTGGTCTTTGAGATATATTTAAGCACTGACTGCAAACCCTTGTTTTTGCTGGGAGATCATGGCAGAAATTTCAGCCATTCTCAATCTACCAGTGGATCTAGGCCACCCCGCACCATGTTATTCAAGGTCAGTGCTGGTTAATGAAAAGGGGGAGGGCAGGACCAGCTCTCATATTTCCACTGATAGCCATGGGCAGGAATCAAACTTAAGTCACCGGATTCTTAGCATAGCGCACTAACCAATGTACAACCACTTTACGCTTTTCACTCATATATGATTATAAAAAGTATTATATCTGATAAATGACATAAAGTGCATGCTTATGGCTGTGGCTCATTATGTATATATATCTGTGCGGACAGTGGCTCTGTCATTTCTGATGAAGCCCTGTGCGGTGTTGCCAGGGTTGTGCATCTGTGATGTCGTGCATGTAATGCTCTGGATGCAAATTTGTGGGTGTGCAGCTGTGGGTGTTCTAATATTGATGTTGTTGTATATGAGCCTTTTCCAAAATTGATATTAACAATAATATTTGCCGTTATATATATCATATATTTTTTTAACAAACGAAAAAAAATAATAAAACCCGTAAGCCAGGCACACGAAAAACCAGATGTCAGTCATAAACAGGCCATTAATAAATAAATAAATAATAAAACTCTCGAGGCGAGGATGTTAGCAGCTATCTGCGAAGATCTCCAGATGAACAAGAGTTTGATGTGCCCTAAGGGAGGTCATGCAGAGGGAAGCCCTCCGCAAGCCAGAAATGTGGACAGCCACGGGTTAAACCATTTTTTTTAAACAACGGTTAAAATTTAAAATGCAATAACAAGAATAAGCTAAAGTTAGCGGTCCTCGCGCTCACTCCAATTAAGACCAGGCCACCAGATATATCAGTGAATTGTTATCCAATAATTAATTCGCTATCAAATGATTTTCACCTTTAATACTTTTACTGTTAAAACAAAGCTTGGAGACAAAATACAGAGTCACATCAAAGGTTTTCGAGAAGGAATGAGGCGAACGGGCAAACTTACGAAAGAGTTTAAACAATATCCCAATCAACCCCGACCACCTTTGTCTCTCCCGAAGAGCGCGAGAGAGGAATTTCACGCCAGGGCAAACAGATCGTTATCGCAGGAGCCATCTGTACACACACACACACGAACTCACACACACAGACCCCGCCCCCCCCCCCCTTTTCCACTGCGCAGAGAGAATTGTCTTTGAATATAACGGTCAGCCGCATTTTCAAAAGTTCAGTGAAGTTAAGTCAAGAGTCAAGACAGATCAGCGAGTCAAGACGTCCACAGGACGAGCAGTCGCATGGAGCGGCTGGCTCCGAGCCTCGCTGAGTAGCGAGGATCGCTGAGTCGCGATGTATCAACAAAAGTGAGTCATACAGCAGTGGAGGAAACCTGCTGTCAGCGAACCAGCACGGGCGCGTTCGCGCACTTCAACAGAGAGAGCACGTGCGACTCAACTCACTCAACTGAAGAAAAAGCTTGGCCAGCCGCCAACAAAGTATCAGCGAATCAGCGCTGAGAGCGCTCGAGCATCTCCACAAAGAAAGCACGTGCAACGTGGCTCAACCAGCAGCGGAAAAGCACGAGCAGCCGCCAACAACTTCAGCAAACCAGTGACCAAGCGCGTGCGACTTAAGTCATACAGCAGTGGAGGAAACCTGCTGTCAGAGAGCCGCCAACAACCTCAACAAAGAGAGCGCGTGCGACTCAGCTCACTCAGCAGAAGAAAAACTTGACCTGTCGCCCGCGAGCACAGCGTCAGATACTACAGCAGCGGAAAGAGCGCGCACCGGCGCAGCTCATCCAGCAGTGGAGGAAACTGCTGTCAGCGAATCAGCACCGGCGCGTTCACGCATCTTCAAGGAGAAAGAGCGTGGCCAGCAACGCCAAGCAAGAGCGAGCAGCAGCTCAGCCAGCAGTGGAGAGAAACTGCTATCAGCGAACCAGCACGGGCGCGTTCGCGCATCTTCAAGGAGAGGGAGCGCGCGCCACCAGCGTGCCATCAGCACCAGCATCAGCACCAGCGCATGCCAACAGCGTGCCACCAGCGTGCCACCAGCACCAGCACCAGCGCGTGCCAACAGTGTGCCACCAGCGTGCTACAGCGCGCAACTTCGCGTCACCAGGGCTGAGAGGGAAGCGGCCCCGCACTCAACACCCATCGGCGCGACAACGGCGAGCGTCGTGCTGACTCATCCAGCCAGCGGTGGACAGAAACTGGCAGTCGTTCGTATGCCCCTCCCCCACACTCCCTCCTCACTCCCCCACCGCTACACAACGAACAAACATTTTTTTTGACAAGGAAATCAACCTAGGCGTTTGCTCAACGCAAGAAATCAACAACCCTCCCATTAAACATACAAGACTCATGATAACTGCGTCAACTATTAGCTGATAACGAAAAACATCGCCACCCATTGAGTTACGTTGATGAGGCAATCAGAATTATTTCAGTCGAACACTTTAATTGCATAATCGTTGATGAATCAATGAACGAACTTCGCCGTGGTACTGTGCTGACGATTTCAAGCATAATAATTTCGCATATCAGAATGTGTTAAGGATTGGATACGAATCAAAGACCGAGTGTCGTGTTGTGTAATCATTCAAGAATACGAGTTTGCATATTATAAGGTTAAGGTTTTGATAGAATAGTTCGTTTGTTTTTAATCTCTCTCTCAACAACCGATCGATTGCGTTACGCGTCGGGAATGAACCACAGGTGCCGCAATCGAGGTGAAACATCGCAATCGTGATGGTATCATGTTAACGCTGTGTTGAAATTCCAACATCCCGAGATTGAGTTTTCATATTATCCAAAAAATAAAGTTAGCTAGGAAATAAAATTGATCAAAGCAGAAGGTTTGTGTGTGATTCTTCCTGAAATTCTGCATAATATTGTTCTGCGTATGAGATCTGAATCCTGGGGACCTATCATAAGCACACTATCACCACACATAATCCATAACACACATAATCCATAATGTTCAATCGAGAGTAATCGTATCCTTATCGATAATACGGAATTAAAGAGCAGAGTCGAATCGACTCTCTCTCTCATTCACGCTCACAACGCCTGCGTCACTGCATAAGATGAATTGCGTTATTCCAATTCATAACACAATCCTCGTCACCGAGGCTCGACCTGATAATCCATAACGACCTGCATTATCATAACCACGCCCACTCGCATAAATTAATACGAGTATCTCTCGAATCAGCATAATTTATGCGCATAATTACACTGATTAACATAATTTCGGATAAATTATGCAAATCTCAAATTTCATTTAATTTTAATTATTCTCATCAATTTTCATAACACCTATATATACAACATATTGGGGTGCTGTGGATGGCAAGTTCGTGCGTGAGGTTGGTGTGATGATGTGTGTAATAGTGTGCTTGTGTCAAGGAGGTCGACACTTTTGTTCCTTAAATGGTACTTGTCCAACAGTCTTTAACACCGCACAGCACTATTTTATTTCTACTCCATTCCACCATACATTGCTTTTGTTTATTATTGCCATCCTCACTTCGCACCCCTTACATATATACTCTCCCTCTCTCTCGAACCTTCTAGAAGCTCCTCGAACCTCTGTCCAAGTTTCCCCATCCCTTCTTCCCCGCTCTTCCATTTTAATTCCCTGGCTAACCCCCTGACCTCTACATGTTCTCGCGCTTCCCAGAGTGGCTGTCGGAGCAGCCAATCAGGGTTCCTGACCTTGCATGCTGCCGGCCCAGCCCTCTGATCCGTCATGCATCACCAGCGCCGGTAACACTTCCTTTGATCCTTCCCCCGGTTTATTTACAGTTAATTTCGAGGACCTCTCAGCCTCCCTTACATCACCTCCCCTCCCTTTCTGAGGAGAAGCCATCAGCTTAATCTATGTTATTCAAGTGCACCCGTTCAGAACAGTGACATAACAGTAGTTGCAATGAGTGAATATTTTGAGTGTTACAAATTAGCATGAGTATTAATGGCAAAAAGACCCCAAAAGAACATACGTAAATACAAAACGCAACAATAAAAGAGCACAACAAGTGATTATGGTATGAGTAAATTTACGGGACATCAAGAGTAGGCAGTCATGTAAATGTAATATGTGGAATAGCTGAAGGCCACTCCACAGGCTGTTGAACCAATGGCCTCCGCGCGCAGGAAAATGACTTTTGGTTGCCTTTGGAATAGGTGCCCATGGACGCATCCGTCAGGTAGATGAACATGCGTGGGAGCATGGCGGTGAAGTGTGGAAAGCTGTAAGCCCCAGACTACTGTGGAATCGCCTCCCCATCAATTGGAAGTGAGGAATCATGGTAGTGATGGTTGCGTATACCCCCACTAAAAAATAAACATCAGGCAAGGCCGATGAGTTGGATGCCTTCTATGACGCCCTGTCACAGGTGCTAGCTAAAGTAGCCCCTCGGGATAGCCATCCTCTTGAGTGATACGCTGGTTGACTTGCCGACACGTGACCGGATGATATTGGAGGGGGGCCACCAGCGGACGGGAGCCGTTGGGCGGTCACGTGGTAAAAAGGAGCTTTCGGGAGCCTTCGGGAATGAGCTCGAGAGATCTAAAAGGTGGGCGGGGCGAGGGGCGGAGTCAGCCCCAGCCCAGACCGATATAATGGGGCTCGGGTTCTTTGGGTTGTTGGTGAAGAAGATCCACGTCAGGTTGAAGAAGCCTCTAGCCACGCGGTCCAGGACACAGCTCGTGGTCCGGACCGGGATAGCGAACCATGTCTAGTTCTGCCGAGCGTGTTTAGATGGGTGTTCAACACCCAAGTGTAGGTTACGTTATGTTGTGTTGAGTTGGTGAAATAAATAGTGTTGCTCCCAAGACAACGTCTGCGACTCAGTTGGACTCACTATTCAAATGTAGTGGGTTCAACTGAGTCGCAGACGTACTCTTGGAAGAAACACATTTATTTAACACCAACACACCGGGTAACTGCCTCTTAACAGAATAACAACCTATGATGGTGACTACCAAGCTAACTACACTAATTACAACGTAACTAGTTACTATGGACAGGGACCACAGCTCGGGTCCAGGTCCACGAGTTGGAGACTCAGAGAACGTGCGTGTAACGTAGACGAAGGTTTCTTCAGGATGAACAACAATGCTGGTCCCTCTGGGGGACCCGGCTTATATTCTCTGCGGCCTGGCTGGCTCCACCCTTGGCCACAACGTACCTTCCAGAATCCTCGAGCAGGATCTGGACCCCGACCACGTGACCACGCCTAGCCCCCACTTGGGGCCCCTTTGTAGACTTAACCAGTCATGTGTCCTCTCGGGTCAACCAGAGTTCCATGGCCTCTCATAACCTCATTCCTACAGCCAGCACTTCTACACCCTATCCTGTAGGGCTGGCACGTCACGCCAAGCGTGATGCCATCCAGCGCTGACCGAGCCCCTCTAGTGCCAGTACTACACCCACACCATAGTGGTATCTGTGATGTCAATACACCGCACGTTGTGCCTCCCTAGGGCCAGCACTGCACAGTGGCATTCCGCGATGTCACTACATCACCACCCCCCCCCCCCCCCCCCCTTCGTAGCACTCAGCTATC